GACTCCTCCGGATAAGGACAAGGCTGAGATATTTCGAAGATATTTATGGAGAAAAGGACAAAAATGGTTGGTAGGCGTACAGCTGTGGATAAGATCAATCATTTGAATAGGACAAAATAAGGTTCAATCGATTGAAAGGTGATGTTGGATCGATCGAACTTGGAATTTCAGCAAAGGCCAAGGTTGGATCTATCGAGAAGTACTGTGATCGATCATAGATGTTCGATCGATCGAACTCTAAGTTGGATCGATCGAACTTTTCAGCTGCACAACTTAATTCCTTTTTGCTCCTTTCTTTCTCCACTTTGCTCCCTCCTTTGGTTTATCTCAGGATTGCTTCAATTAAGCTCTTATTTGGCTGAGTTAGCTCAATTTTGGGATTAGTGCCTGAAAATATAAATAACACGTAATAAGTCTAAAACGGCAAAGTAAGATAGATAAAGGTACTAGAATGCTTAAGCTTAACGGGTTTAAATACGCACTTTTCAGTGCTCATCAGTCACCATTTAAGTTTGCCATGATCGATCTCTAAAATTCTTAAGTTATTTCAATAGAGTCCTTACTTTGATACCAATTGTTGCCCAAGTATAGACTATAGAGGGGGGGTGAATAGAGTCTAAGCAAACTAAGGTCAATTTTTCAATATTGATTTATCAACTAGAGTTAAACTTAACTTCTTTGACAAATATTGAATGATGCAAACTGAATTTAAGCTTTAATTGTCAATAATTATAAAGAGGCATATCAATACATACATGAAGCAATAAATATGAGAAATAAAGATAGAAGTTGCAAACATGTACTCAACGATTTTAGAGAGGTTCGGAAACTCCTACTCTTCGGCTCAAGACCCCTCTTGAGACTTCCCAATTCACTAAGGCTTCTCCTTGCGGGTGGAGAGCAGACCTTTTACAAGAAGCACCTTCTAGCTTCTAAGTGCTAAGAGATACACCTTCTCTTAGTCTTCCTTAAGCCACACCAGCTCTTACAAGTTTTTGAAATATATAGATGAAGTACAAAATGATCTCTCTCTCACATCTGAAGTACAAGATTTAGCTCACTCTAGAGTATATATGAATAACTTGAAGCTCAACTCTCTTTTATGATATATGATGTGTGAAAAATAATGATGAAAAGCTTTTGATTGCTAGTAGATCTTTTTTCAATAAATGCAACAACCTTTTATGAGGTTATTCAATCATTAGTTGTTGGACACACACCCCAAGACAGAAATGGCCGTTTGAATTTTGAAATGCGCAGCTTCGGTCGACCGAAATGAAACTCCCTTGAGTTTCGGTTGTCCGAAATGGTTTTTTGGTTGGACACCCTTCTCGGTATCTTAGCTTCGATAGACCGAAGAGGAACCCATGTTTATTTCGGTCGTCCGAAATAGTTTCAGGATTGAACTTCACCCTCTCAGTATTTCTGTTTCGGTAAACCGAAATGAACTCTCAGTTATTTCGGTCAACCGAAATAACTATTAGTTGGATCTGTATATTTATTTCGGTAGACCGAAATGAAATGATGATTTATTTCGGTAAACCGAAATAACTTGAAGCTTTGATCTTAACTCTTGGTTCATTTCGGTAGACTGATACACTAGTGTTTCCCATTTCGGTAGACCGAAATGGACTCACATTTTCAGATAAGGATATGCTTAAGTCCTTTGTTCCTTAGTCATGGTAATTAAGATGATATGCATAATGTTGGAGAGTTTGAGCTTCAAGATGTTCATATACACTTTAACAAAGCTTCCTAAGAAACTCACCAACCTAGCTAACCCCATTTTGATGTCTTGTGATGACTTGACATTGACTTTTGATTGCTTAGTCCTTTGCTCATGCCTTGATGTTGCTTCTTCAGTTTTGTCCTTGTATTGTAGTGCTTGTTTTGATGAATGTTTTGCTCTGTAATTTCACTCAAGAAGACATTAGTGATCATTGAACATCATTAATGAATTATGATTATCAAAAACCTTTGATTCAAGGTCAACACAATGTATCTCAACCCCTTCTTATTCTATTTCAATGAATGGGGAATTTTTTTGCATTTTTTAATGGTAGAAAGGCATAAGACAAGTGGATCCATTATCACCATTGTTGTTTCTCTTGGCAATGGAAGTTTTTTCTTTAGCCATTACTAAGTCCATCTCTCTGAATCCCACATTTAAGTACCATTGAAGGTGTAATAAATTGGGCATTACTCATCTTGCATTTGCAGATGACATTCTTCTTTTCTTCTATGGAAATTTTGATTCAGTTGAGGTGTTTTTCTCTACTTTGAATAAATTTTTAAATATATCTGGGTTGTCAATTAACTACACAAAAAGTCAAGTGTTTTTTGCTTGGGTGGATGCACAGACAAGGGCAAATATTCTCTCTCTCATGCAGTTTGAAGTTGGGATCCTACCAATTACATACCTTAGTTTACCCCTATCCTCTTCAGCTATCAATGCAACTGATTGTCAAACTTTGGTGAATAGAATCACAAAGAGAATTACAATGTGGACATCAAGATTTTTATCCTATGCTGGTATAACAATGCTGATTAGATCCATACTCTACTCTATCCAAGCCTACTGGGCACAAGCTTTCATTTTGCCACAAAAAGTAATTGATTAAATCAACCAAATTATTAGAAGTTTCTATTGGTTTGGAATTGAATTTAAGAAGAGGGGAGGGGGGGGGGGGGGGGAGGGGGGGCAAAGTAGCTTCGACAACTATTTGTAGACCTAAAGTCAATGGAGGGCTGGGTTTTCCTTGCTTAAAGTTAACAAATAGAATTTCAAGCCTCAAACACATTTAGAAGTTATGTACTATGAAGGACTCCTTATGGGTTGCTTAGGTTCATAGATTCCTCATAAAGAATAGAAGTTTTTGGACTGTCAAATCATTAGCACTAAGTTATGGATTCTGGAGAAGATTATTAAAGCTATGGGGAATGGCAAGGGGTCTAATTAGACATAAGGTTGGCTCAGGTCTAAATACAAGTCTATGGATTGATTAACTGAATCTCAACTTAACTGAATCTCACTGAAGTGGAAATTCTTCAACTGAACTATCAAGTCAAAGTTGATAGCCTAATTTCCAATTTTCAGTGGATAATCCCTCCATCTCTTCAACAAAATCCATTCTTCCAGTCTCAATCATTCATTTCCCAACTCAATAGCACAGATTCACTATCACCAACAACAGACCTGATCCAATGGTTACCAAGTGCTCAATAGGACTACTCTCACAAGCTCACCATGGAATACTTCACTCCACTTTCAATCTTGTTTGCATGGCACCACATTATCTGGTTTAAACACCATATCCCCAAACACAGTCATATAGTTTGGATGGCCATTAGGAAAAGGCTCTACACATTGGATTCAAAACCCATGAGAAACAAACATAAAACAAATGCCTGCTTTTTGTGTTTGGCAGATTGGGAGTCATTAGATCTCCTTTTCTTTAAGTGTAAATATAGCTGTGCAATTTGGAACTTCATTCAAAATGTAGCAGGTTTCTATATTTTACCAAGTTGTTGGTCTGAACTGATCGATTGGTGCTCAAAGTTCTGGAAACATGGAGACTTCACTACTCACAAGTTGCAGCTTTTAGCTGCAGTATATTTCATTTGGCAGGAAAGGAACTCAAGGGCGTTTAGAAACAAGGCTTCCCCTCCACACATTCTCAGAAGAACAATTAGAAACTGTGTTAAGACAAGACTTGCCTCAATCAAGTTAAGGAGTGAAGATTTAAGGAGGATTGGCACAATGGAGGACCTTCAACAACTATTTCAACAAGGTTGTGCTGTTACCCTTAGACAGCCTGTTCACCTACATTGAGGTTGCAGAGTACTATTCTTTTGGTACTTTAATACAGTCCTGCTTACCACTGAATGTGGATGTTTTGCATACAGTCATTCAATAGAGTGTTTGGTTGCTGTCTTTGGCCCTGCTGCATTCTGGTTTTGACTTCAATTCCTTAGTTTAACAAGTAGATTTTGGTATAGATTGTTTGGCTGTTGGCTTTTGACTTGGATCCATATGATCTTGTAATAGCTTATTCTGTATTGTGACTTATATGTTGTACAGTTTTTCCTTATTTATATTAGCTTACCCATTCAACTAAAAAAAAAAAATCAATCACTTGCTTTGGGCAATAAGTTACTGTGTGTTTTTTAATCAAGTTTTAAATAAATAAATCTTTTTAATCATGTGGAGGAAAGCGAAATGAGTTCGGATAAAAATGTTTTAGATGTAGCCCAATCCTAACCTTTTAATCTGAGCACTGACTTGAGCCCACCTACTTCATGGATCAGGATCCAACAAAATCAAACCGTACAAAAGACACCTTCTCTAAGTTTCAATATAATGAAAAAGAAACGGTCTTACAAAACACAATTAGCTAATTTTTCCAAAAACATTTCATGCATAATAAGATGTTTTGTTCGTATCAGTAAGTTTTTTCTCTTAAATTTTTCTTTATTGCAAAACTTATGTAATTTTAGTTCAATTGCTGATTTTTTTATTTATTTATTTTTTTTTATCACTGACAAAAATAAATAAAAAATTGATTTCTTATTATTATTTTACCCTTTCACTGGTAAAGAGTAGTCAATACAGCTAAAAGCTGTATACATAGAGTATATACACGTTATTAGATGCCTGTTAAGTCGGACTCGGCCTTAACTTTAGGCTATAAGGTCAGCCTGGCCCAGTCTTTTTTTTTTTTTTTTACGTAAATTCGAGAATGAAATGCAACGTATTTAAGTGTCTTTTGATTCAAGTCACATAGCTAGAGCGGAGGCAGAAGTGAGAAAAAGTGATAAAATTTTAGTCATTCCGAGAATCGAGAGCGAGAACACGTGATTGAGAGTGACACTTATTGAAAACAATTTTGTGATTTAAGTATAACTTAATATTTGGCACTGATTGATCTTAAATATAATTTTTTTTTCGATCATTTTAAAATTTAACATATTTCTTTAAGTTAGTAGCAATTTAAAGAAGATTATTACTTAAATAAAAAATTTATAGACAAAAGAAATGTCCATGTAGATCAGTATTAATTGATACCATCATGGTGTACACGTAATGAAGATATACATAAAACATATATTTCACAGTTTACACCCGATTCCCACAATTGGACTATTGGGGTCAACTTTTAAGCATTTTTCATATAAATATTAGAAATCAACAAAAAGATATAAATATTAGAAATAAATATATTTATAAAATATGAATCCAATAACTATGGAACCTAGTCTGCTTTAGTTTGTGACGTTGAAACGGATGCTTCATCTAAGGCATGTTTGAGTTGGGGAAATAAAATGCGACCATAACACCAGTCCATCACTTGAGGGCATAAAGCTCCCACCAAAAACCACACCCTGTACCATTTTGGCTCGGTCACATGTCTTTCTCCTCGCCTCACCCCGTCAACAAGGGCTTCTGCAGCTCTCCTTGAAGTCATCACCGGAACTAATTGAAAAACAACCTGTCCATAACCAAGGGCCGATTCAAGAATTATTAATGAGGTAGGTGAATATTTTTTTGAGGGAGCTAATATTAGTAATAATTTTTTATTTTTTATTTTTGAATTGAATTAAAATTAATAAAAAAATAAATACAAAATTGGGATGAACTTAAACCCACCAAAACATACACATATATCCCCCTTATCCATAACCATTTTACGTTATTAATAATGAATTGATTAACCCACTCGACAAACACTAGTAAATGCATTAAACTAAAATACATTAATTAACGCGACAGAAAATATATATATATATACATATACATATAAACTTGTAGCATGTATGTAACTATGTGTAAATTTTACATTTCTTATTATTTGATTTATTTAAATGAGGTATACCTTAGATAAGTGTTCTTGTCTGGTCATGTTTGAATCTATAAACCCAAGAGTTACAATTGTTACTGTGATTGAAGAAGCCAATTCAGATTTCAACGTTTCAAAGAAATATATATATATATACATATAAAAGGCCATCAAGAGATCTCTTTCATAACACTACTAGATTAAAAATATTACTTTTGGAATCTGTATAAGAACAACAACAAAACTTTTTTTCAATTACTTTTGAAATATGTAAAAAAATATATTCAAAGTAATCTTTAATAATGCTATTTGTAACGAACGAGATAAATGTCTTGATCAGTCTCATGACAACATTTTTATATGTATTTACACTCACTTATAAATTGTACGCAAATCTTACACCTCTCTCATCCTTCTAGCTATCCACTTGGGTGAGGCCTACCTTAGACAGCTGTTCTCTTCTGAGCATTTTTGAATCTATAAATCCAAGAGTTGCAATTGTTACTGTGATTGAAGGTGCCAATTCAGATCTCAACGTTTCAAAGAAAGTTTTTATTGCCGATTTACTTACCTGAAGCACAATGTAAATAATAATAAAAATAATATGGAAACAATTCAGATATATATATATATATATATGGAGAGATTATTTAGATATAAATAATGCATATGATTAATTCATACACTATAGATGCCCATTGTGGGAGGGTGCACCAATGCAGCAACAGACGAAATGGCAAGAATTTTTCCCTTGCTTTTTTTGAGGTGAGGAATTGCAAAATGGGTTGGATAAACATATCCCCAAAAGTTTATGTCCTGTAGGAAAACTATATATTCAGTTTAAAATATAAAATAAATTAAGCAGGGGGAAAAAATAATTTGAAAAAATGTGTTATATACAGAAAGATTATTACCATCACACGTGTAAAATTCGTAAAATCTGTGACATCTTCAATTGGGCTTACAGAGGCAATACCCGCATTATTGACCAGATGATCCACTGTAAATTAAAAAGCTTCTTCAGTTTCAACAATTATATATATATTTAAATGACAAGCAACCAAGCTATTTTAATCTCATTTAGTTGTGTTATCAAATACTAATAGAAAGCTCACATCTGCCAAAGTGTTTGATAGCTTCATCAACAAAGCGCTTGCAATCTTCAACAATGGAAACATCTGCACAAACCTCCAGGACATCAGGAGAGCCCAGGCCACGAGCTGTCTCTGCAACCTTTGGAAGGTGGTGGGCATTCCTCCCAACTATCACAAGTGAAGCTCCTCTCTTTGCATACTGGTAAGCCATTTGCTGCATACACACACACATATATATATAAAGTTGATATATATAACTACTGAATCAATTTTGAAATTATAAATAGAGAATATATATATATATATATATATATATATATATATAAGAAGCATATGGAAGAAATTAAATGAAATGGCAATGGCTGAGCATGAACCTCTCCAATTCCTGATGTAGCACCAGTGATGAGAACTACTTTTCCATTCATGTTCTCTGGGGAGATGTAATATTGTAAGATAGTACGTATGAAGTTGAAGATGAAGACGGGAGGTAGGATGATACACAGAGACACACATACTACAGGCATAAGCACTATGTATATCAACTCATGAATCAGATCACTTGAATCCATTTCTGTAACTAAAAAGTGACAATGATGTAGCTATATATATATATATATATATATATATATATATATATATATCAACTCATGAATCAGATCACTTGAATCCATTTCTGTAACTAAAAAGTGACAATGATGTATATATATATATATATATATGTAGGTTCAACTAATGTAATTAAATGGTTTGTGATTAAAATTGTGGTGGTTGTGTAGTGCAGATAGCCACAACCCTAAAACCTACCAAAATTATGAAATGAATGGTACCCGTGGAGGCTGCAGACATTATTGGGCCCAAAATTTAATGTAGTGTTTTTTAAATTTTTGGATAAATTGCACTGGTTTGAGTTAATGACTCAGCGGACACTCATAATATTACTAATGTTAATTATATTTTTTTAAAAAATTAATGTTAATTTATGATAATACCCCATCATTACCCAAACCAGCAATACACTCACAGTAGGTATTCTAAGGGTAAACTTGTATTTTTCTCGACTGACATCAGCATAAACCATTAGTTGTTTAATGGCACGGAAGGTCCATGTTATTAATATACAAACTTTGAGGGAGGTCAATATAATTTGACAAATAAAAAGAAAGGTATGTGTAAGTTGACAAAATTTCAGGAAGGTCAATGTAATTATCCCTAATAATAATAATATAAAAATAAATAAATAAATAAAATTGTTCTCAGACCCAAACCTGACTTGGATCATGGGGTTTTACCTAACCCAAAGTGCCTAAGCTGATTGGTTGGTCAAGCGGACCTAGATTTCAAAACTAAAAAAAAATTACAATTTGATAGAATGATTTTGACTACCAAATATGTTAATGCACAATCATATTTCCAACAATCTCTTGTTGTTCGAAAGTGAAGCAAGAACAATCACTTCTGCTCCCGGAGGCTTGGGTGAGTTGGTAAGGTGAGGGCATTGGCTTGCATTGGCCAGTGTTCGGACCTTCCTACCTCTTTTATTATTCTTGACTTAGTTTGCTACTTATAATATGGGATCGGCGTCTGCAGCTGGAGATTTACCTAATGGTTACAAGTCTAAAGAACGGATGGTTGCAAGGATTCTCACGTCATTAAAAAAATAATAATAATAAAAAATAAAAAAAAAGACAATCACTTCTCTTTCCAATTTATCCCGAGAGCAAGAATATCGTTGGTCATGAATGGGATGGGATCCCCTTGCTTTGGGCAACAAGTTACTGTGTGCTTTTTTATCAAGGTTTTTCGAATATGATTAATGTTGTTGTCCAAACTAATGTGTACAGATACCAACATGACGTGACGTCTAACGACCAAAATTACGAAAGGAATTTGTACCCCTAAAGTTGACAATAATGACCCTAACTATATCTCATATTTCATGTCATTTTCAAAGTTTTTCACAGCTAGGTCAAGTTGTTTCGCTTGCTTGGTTTATAGAAAATTGATGTCATCCTTGTCAAAGTGTTTTTTTTTTTTTTTTTTTTTTTTTCTTCTTTTGGTTAAAGGGTAAGCTTTATAAAAGAAAAGATATGAACAAATAGTTCCAAATATACAACAAGCCAAAAGGAATATAAACCCTGGCAGCAATGGAATCACATCTAACCAAAAACAACCAAAACATTGAGAGGGAAAATAAGCAACACTAATTTTCAAAATTAATAAATAAATAAGCAACACAGTATAACCAAATTGCCCTGAAGGAAGTAGCACGCATTTTCTAGTAGCACTGAAAAAGTTATAGCAAGAACCATGATAGTCCACTAACAAAGGAGCAGCCCTGAAAGAATAGTTGCTGCAATGCTTCAACTAATTGAATCTTCCTTATGTCCACACCTCTCTTTAACTTAATAGACGCAAATCTAGCTCTTATGCAGCCCTTGATGAGGTGGATAATTTAATTAGCTGAGGAAGACACTACAACAAATTTAACCTTTTGTGACGAACTTTTGGTGACAAAGCTCATTTTGTCACTAATGGTATTCTTAGTGACAAAATATTATTCCGTCCCAAAAAACACACTTTTTAATAACGAAAATTTTATTTTGTTGCTAAAAGCCCGGCGAGAAACTCGACAGGCTTTCCCGCAGTTATCAAAAAGTTTTGGATGGAAATTTTTTGTTGGGGCTAAATCTTAAAAAATAATTCGTCACTATTTTAGCACAATAATGTGTCTTTTTTAATGACGTGGTTATTAGTCTTTTGCCTTAGCCCACCACTTGAGCTCAAAGTTTTTTAAAAAATATCGTGTTTACAACCTCATCACATTTTCTCCTCCCAAAACCCTACCGTCACGCTCTCAAACCCTAACACCGCCTCCACCACCGCCCAGGCTTCCCTCTCAACCAATCCACCCCTCAACAAACCCATATCAGTCATCTATTCGACAACTAACAAAGATCGCCCAACCCCCAACTCCCAATCCATAAGTACGCCTTCAATTCCGCTGCCTGAAAACGTGATCAAGAGGGCCGAATCTGATTCATTTTAATTAAGATTAATTGCTTAGAAAGTAGTATTTAATTTTTATGTTTGATTTTCACAGTCCCCATTGTTCCATTTAGTGAAAAAAAAAAAAAAAAATTCATTTTTTTTGCAGCTACAAGAGTGGCTTCGTGCGGAATTTCTGTATTCAAAGGCGAAGTGCATAAAGCCACAAAAACAGTTTGAAGAATTTTAAGATTCAAGAAGACTAGTGATAAGGGAACTTTGAGGTGCTGCCATAGAAGGAAAGTTGGGAGTTTGCTTTTATGTTTTAGTTTGATCTTTTGTATTAGACAATTGGAAATTTAGGATATATTTTGACTTAGAATCGAACAAATATAGAAATTTATTAAAATTTAAGTTAATTTTGTATTTGAACTCAGAATTACTATGTATTTCATAATAAAATTTAATGTTATGTTCAAATTTGGGTTGCTATATAGAGTTTGAAATGTGTGGACTTGTGTTTCTATTTGGACATTTTTTTAATATTAGTAAAAACGATAAGAAGTTTAGAAAGCATGCAAAAATTAGTTTTTAGTAACAAAAGGCATTTGTCATTGGGTAAGTTAGTGACGAAAACTTTCGTTGCTAATGCCCATAAAATGGGACAAACATTTTAGTCACTAAAAGGCAAGTAGATGTGACGAAAAGTATGGTCGCTAAAAGTCATGCAATAGTGATGAAAATGTTCACATTTTTGTCACTAAAAGGCAAACAGATGTGACGAAAAGTATAGTCACTAAAAGTCATGCAATAGCGACGCAAATTTTTTTGTCACTAAAAGCAAAGGCAATAGTGACAAAATTCTCATTTGTCACTATAGATCAACCGAGACGGTTATATAGCAACGAAATATTGACGAATGATTTTTCATCACTAAAAACTTTTAGCAACGAAAATTTAGCTTTTTGTGACGAAAAAAAACGTTGCTAAAGGTCACTTTTGTTGTAGTGAGACCTCTTTTTGAAACTCTTGCATTTCTCTCCTGCCAAATGAAATAGATGGCACAAGATAAAAGAAGTTTGTGAGTGATGAAGTGTTCCTGAGTCCAAGTTGCTGGGCACCAAGCAATCAAATCCTTCCAACTGTTTGGTTTAATGTAGAAGTCTGCTGCATGTTTGATGAAGTTCCAAATGGTTAAGCTAAAATGACATTTGAAGAAGATGTGATCCACTGATTCCTTATGTGCAAGGCAAAGATAACAGGCATTGGTATGGTGCTTCTTCAACATTTACTTTGAGTCCAGAGTTGAAAGTCTCTCCTTGAGAGCTAACCAAACAATGTATCCATGTTTTGGGATATGGTGCTTCAACCAAACAAGGTGATCCCAAGCAAAAGCAATAGAAGTGGGAGTAAAATAATCCATTGTAAGTCTACGAGAGTAGTCATTAGGAGAACTTGGAAGCCACTGAACTTGATCCAATTGTCCACTATCAATGGAAGGGGGAGGAGTATTCTGAAGCTGTGATATGAAGTCATGACTTTGGAAAAAGGGAATGTGGTGTAAGGAGCTTGGGATTACCCACTGATGGTTGGAAATTAGGCTATCAACTGTAAGGAGCTTAGGATTACCCACTGATGGTTGGAATGTGGTGTTGTTTCGTTTCCAAGGTTCGAATTTTCTTATTACGTAAATCTGTGATTTAAATTTCACTCGAGTAATGAAAAGTAATTAACTGGACATTCCTAACATCTTAATTTCACATTTTATTCGTAAAAAAATAAATATAAATAAAAAATCAACAGTCCTCCTAGAATCTAGCTCTTAAAATTCCTGTGGTCAAAATTTGTGTTCTGTTGATTACTTCTCATTACTCGTGTACAAGTTTGTGTGTGTATTATATATATATCAACACAATTTCCTAGTTACGTCCCTACATGCAATCTAAGATAGTAGAAAACTCTCGTATAGTTATCGGAATGGTATGGCGCAAAATATTCATTGATGAAAGTAAACGATACCCTAACCGATGACTCTAAGGGCCCGTTTAGGAAGTGTTGTGTAGTGTAGTGTAATGCTCTAACATAAAACAGAACAAGTGTTTTGTGATGTAGTGTTCTGAAATGCGAACAAAACATGTTTGGGATGAAAATTTAGAGTGAGAATTTTGGAATAAAAATTATTATTATTTTTTTTATGATAAAAATAAATTAATTACAGAGCTTGATTAGTTGATTTAGAAAAAAAAAAATTAAAACAAAACCCATACACACAGAATTGCAGTTGCAGAGAGAGAAAGACTAGGGCAATTGGGAGGCTGAAATGATTTGCCCTAAAAATGGATTTGCAGAGTTGAGAACGAGAATAGAGATAGAGGCGTAGGAAGGCTGAAATGATTTACCCTAAAAAAAATTAAAACAAAACCCATATAAGTTTGCAGTTGCAAAGAGAGAGAGAGAGAGCGAGAATAGAGATGGAGGCGTCTGGGAGGCTGAAATGATTTGCCCTAAAAAAATTTAAAACAAAGCCCATACAAACAAGAATTACAAAGCTTGTGAATGGCGAACCAGAACTGGAACAGCGGACCCATACACACAATCTGAAAAACAATTAAAACAA